GAGGACCCAGCTTTGAGCCTTATTCTTGGTGAACCTGTGTGACCTTAGGAAGGTCACTTTACATCCCTAGGCTTTCATCTGTAAAATGTAAAATCTCTGCTTCAGGGATCATTTAACAACTCAAAGTTCTTTGCATTGACAGCAGTGTGGAAAGGAGTAGTTTTTGCCTTCCACTCTTGGGTAGAGCTTGCAGTTTAGGACTAACATTTTCAGTAAGATATTGTAAACAAATCCTTATAGGATCATGGGTTTAGAGTTGCAAGGAACATCATAGATCATTTCACCCACTCATTTCATTTTATAGATAAGTTTTAACACAGAGAATACTGAATATTCTAATTTTTAATTATGTTTTTAGGAATATAATTTTCCTCTGGGAATCTTTTTAGCTGCATCCCAGAAATTTTGGCAGGTTCTTTTTATTATTATCGTTATCATTCACATAATTAATTGTTTCTATTATTTGTTCTTTGACCCATTTGTTATTTGCTATTTCATTACTGTCTACATTTAGCTCTGTTTTGTTTTTGTTCACTGAGCCACTGTTTTGTTATATTATAACCTGTAAAAGATATGACTAGTATTTCTGACTTTTTACACGTATTGACAATTTCTCTGTGCCTTAATATATGCTCAATAATTGTAAAAGGTTCATACGATGCTGAATAAATATGTATATTCTTTAGTAGTCACATTCAGAATGAACCTCAAATCTTTCAACTCTAAATTCTTCAATATTTTGTTCAATCTACATTTTCTCTTTTATCTTTCTGTTAGAGTTATCTTACTCTGGAAAGAAACAGTAAAGTCTCCTACTATTGTGTTATTATCTGTGTTGTAACAATTCAGTTAATTTTTCCTTTGGATTGAGATGTCATACCACTTGGAAAGTATGTATTTAATGTTAATATTGGCTTGTCTGTTTTTTTTGGTGAATTTTTATTTTTGGTTTTGTGTAATAGAATGATAACAACTTCTGCCTTTTCAAATTCACCTGATAACATAGTAAATTTTATTCCAATCCTTCATTTTTATTCTATTTATGTCTTTGCTTTTTTATATGGATTTCTTGTAACAGATTGCAAAATTTTGTTTTCTTACACAGGCTGTCAATCTCTTTTTATTGTATTATTCAAATTTATTCACATTTAATGTCATATGAGTTAGGTTTATGTTTTCCTCCACTTTTGTATCTGGTAATTTTTTAATTGGAATTTTTTTGTTCCACCTTTGTTACTACTTTGTTATTATTTGTTAGTACTTTGTCCCAATGATCAGTTTTGCTTAATCTGCTTTGATGCTATGCTATTCTCACAGACTCTCTTCTCTCTCTCTTTTCACCTACCCACTCCTGTTAATCAAGTTTTTCAATAGTTTTGGAGTTTTTCTTAACTCATTTGATTTCTTTTTCATTCATTATTTAGTTAGTTATCTAATTCTTCCTCTCTTTTCTCCTTTACTTTTATCCCTCTTAGTTTGGCAGTTATTTCAAAAATTCCCCTTTTCTGCTCCTATCCAACTTTGTTTTGTTTTGTTTTCCTCTTTCTATTTTCTGGGTGTGAGTTGGTTTCAGAAAATATGTTTTCCTTTTTCTCTGAAACAAGAACTTGACCATGTGCTCTTTCAGAAGATGGGCTCTCCTTGTGCACGAAATTCTCTCAGATTAGATTCATTGTAAAATCACCATTATCATTATAGAGATACACATTATCCTTCATGGGAATGCTCTTCAATGGAACCCCTTCCTTTCATTGGGTTATGTCCTCCCCTTTTGATTATCCTTGATTTAATCCCTCCCTTTTGTTATCTCTCACTTTCTTCAGTAGTCCATCTTCTTGCTTGGGTACTAGAGGAACTAGCTTCCCTTCATTATTCATCCATGGACATATTTGGGGCTATAACACACATTCCCCTCTATCTTCTATCTTTCCTTTCCTTTTTTATATACCTCCTCCCCTCCATTCTGTAACTCCATCATTCATATAGTTTTAGTCACCTGTGAGAGGATTGTGGGGTTTAGTCCATGATAGTTAATGCCTGTTCTGCCATTGTCACTTCTCTTATCTTGAAATTTAGTTTTTGTCTTATGTACTTATAACTCCTAAGAAAGTTCTAGTGCAGAGCCTTGTGAGGAAAGCCAAAGAGACTTGGGAAAAATTGGCTCAGGCTGCATATGTGCCAATAGAACTCACCTGCCTGACTTTCTCATTGAATTGACTGAACTGGCCAGTTGATTTATGGTGCCATGTATATAGCCTCTGAGAAACATTATACTGGTATTAGGTTCATTCTGCCATGAAAAGCTCAGTAGCTTTTCATAATCATGCAAAAACACTAGGGGAGCTCTGCTTGGTCTTCATTGGCACTCACTTCTTTTGTGGCATTCCTGTTGACTTAGTTCCAAGGAGGTGCTCACCCAAATGGAATATTTGCCAGCTAAGATTATATGTGAGTGGTGCTGTTTCTAGAGTTACTTATGTTGGAACTGACTTAAGGTAACTCTATTATCTTGTAAGTTTTTTAAAAAAGACCTAAGTCTCATATATTTATATGATTTTGATTTATACAAATCAATATGAAGACAAATGAAAACTAGCCTTCTATTACGACTAACAAAAAATAATAGGTTTGTCCCTTCTCTCTTCTAACCCTCTTATCACTCCTATATATATACACTATAGGATTCCCTTTTGGACTTCACTGACTTTCTAAGGCTTTGATGTTTATTTAAACCTTACTTCAAACATATAAACATTTGATGTGGAATAGTATAGAATAGGACTTTTTCTGAGGGTACTGCCTCCAAAGTATAGCCTTATTTATGAGTAGGGCCTTGGTGGGGCAAGGGATGGAGAGAGAAATCATCCTAGCTTGGGACTGACACCCTCTTCAGCCCAGAGGAACATTCACAGAGGTTAGCAATTCCCACGTGCTCTCCTTGGTATGCCTAAGGCTAAGGAAATGATGAAGGCAGAAAAGGATAAGAGAAAGAGGTGAAAAGGGAAATGCAAAACATTTAGTTATAAACTTCTTGAGAATATGGCACTCTTGGCATCCCAAGAAGCTATTGAAGTAGTACACTGGGGTTGTTGGTAGTTCAATACTGCCTGAGGGACTTACCATGCTAAAGTACATGGATATCCCATTATTGTTAATATGAAGTAAGACTAGAGGCTTCTAGGAGGAGAAGGAACCAGACTGGTATGTATGGTCAGTTGTGGCTACATTTGTCCCAAATACTTACTCTTATAATATTTTTCAACAGAGATGAAAAATCAGCATATGTCAGATTTATTTTGGGGCCTATTCATGATGGCATGAAGGCTCAGTGGACCTTGTGACAAGTTGGACTTATCTCTAGGGAATTGTTGTAGAACATCAAGCTTGAGTATAGCATTATAGTGAAGCAACAATGTATGTTTTTGTTTATATAATCTTTGGTACCAATAAAATGGTGTTTCTGAAAGATGGCCCAAATCTTCCAGAGGGATGTCTGCATGCCAAAATTAGCAAGTTGAGGAATTTAATTTCAACATATAAATTGTAGGTCATTATAGGGTATAGGGTGGGCCAATGCAGTTTAATTCTAAAGCTGGAGTCAGCAACATCTTTGACCCTGAATGCCATAGCAAAGCTAAATGACATTCATGGGCACTGACATGGAGATATGGCACTGACAGGAGAGAAGGAAAAGAAATGGATTAAGAAAGGACAAAAGAGGGAATACACACACACACATACACACACACACACACTCACACACATGAGGGGAGGGGGTAAGAAACAGATTTATCCGGTAGGAAATGATACTAATATTTGTGCTAAGTGCCACTTTGTTTATTCAAGGATGATCTACTTGTTGATATAGTCTCTTCTATCTTCCACCCTCCTGAGCTAACCTTGCATTTTTTTTTAAAGAGAAGAATTCATCTTGGTACCAAGTTCTTTTTGACCACCCAGATCTGTGGATCAGATTCACCAGTTGAAGGAGGATTTGTGGAAGCCAGAAGTTTGCATGTATAAGTAGGACTCAGGTCCTTGGTGCAGGCCTGTAACTCTCAGTACCCACAAGTATCACCTGTATCCTTGATAAACTTTATTTAGATACACAGACACAACAGACAAAACATACACAGGTACACATTTTTTTTTCTTCTCTATAGAATTAACATTGCATAGAGAATCCTTTTAAAAATGCATGGAATATAAGAATATTGGAAATTATCCTTTTTCACTCATGGAACAACACACATATTTTCAGCCAGAGGAACACAGGGAAATATTTCTGCATATATTTCACATTGATTCTACATAAGTATACAGATTGGTAGAAAATTAAACAGATGGATTTGGACCAGATTATCCCTGTAGTGACAGAATTCTCACAACACCATTATGACTCTGTTAAAACAGAAAATGTAAACAAGCAGGATTCCACATCTCCCTACACAGATGCTCAGGAAGCCATCGTCAGCTGTATCACAAACAAGCTCAGTAGAGAAGCTCCTTCTTATATCTTTAGGGACACGTTAACATCTAGATTTATGCCTATAATGTACAAGATATACATATCTACACACACTGAGAAAGGTGGGCTGTCTATAGAATAAAACTCATAATGCATACAGAGTATAGAAATCAGAATAGAAAATGTTAGTTTAGAAAGGAAAAAAAGAAAAAAAAAGAGATCCACTTTGAAAATAGTACAGATTCCTTGCTACCCTACCCCCCCCCCCCGAGCTCCCTAACCAAAATGAACAGTGTGTATCTATCTTGCTCATCCCATCCCAACTCAGGGGTTATGTTCCCTACTGTCATACCCTTTACCTCTTGGGACACTCTGCTAGAAGTATCCCAAATCACCAGGAATAATCATCAATAGATTCACCCTAATTACTCCTGTCCAGGACAATTGTCTGGCCTCTAAACCACCTTCAGTGTTTCAGAGTGACTTTCCCTAGACAATCTTTGTATTTAGTAAAAAATGGTTTCCACTGTACCCTTCGTGTGTCCTCTTCCCAATGTGACAAATCCAGATGAGATGAAGTTATGGAGATCAGGGCCTCCACTTCGGTGAACCTCCTTCCCATAGAGCCCTATGGGAAAACAGATGACAAGGGAAAGGTTATTTGACATGCCAATGACACTTGCCATTTATTTCTATTCTACATTATATGAAATGTGCTGGACAGTAAAATTCATGAGGGCAGAGATTATATTTCACTATCTAAATATTCCTTTGTCCATGGTATAATGGCATGCATATTAAAAGCATATTTGCTTTAAATTTATTTTTAATGTGAACTTAACCCCAAATAAAATGAGCATTTCCATATTCAAAGTAGAATAAAAAAATAAGATTTCACACACATACGTGTGTATATACGTATATATATGCATATATATGTACATATACATATACACCCACACACATATAGTTTTATTGTTTGTGCTTCTTTCTGGCCTTTTGTTCTCTCCTCTGCATTTTTAAAAAATTCATTGACTCTCTTTTCTTTCTTTCATTTTCCCCCTAATCTATCCCTAGCCTCCATTTTCATGCTCCTACCTCCCTTTCATCATTGGGGGAAAAATAATAATGCATGGTTGTTAAATTAGGCAGTAAAAAGACTCACATCATATCTAACATTTATTTGGTACCTCAGGGTCTGTAATGAGCTTTACATATACTCTCTTATTTGAGTCTTACAATAACCATGTCTTAAGAGATATTATCTCCATTTTATAGATAAGAAAACTGATGCTAAGAGATTGAGTGACTTGACCAAGGTCATACAGCTAGTAAGTATCTGAAGCAGAAGTCAAATCCAGGTCTTCCTGACTTGTGGGGTAGGTACTTCCCATTATATCAGGGAATGGCAAACATTTTTTGGTAAAGAGCAAAATAATATATATTTTAGGCTTTATAGGGCAAGAGGCAAAATCAAGGATATTATATGTTCTTGTTATAACAAGAGAGAAAACAAATTCCCACATTTTTTGTTGATGAAATTAAAAATATAATAATAATAATTGAATATAATTTCTTTTTGTTTTGGAGGGATTTTTTGTTTTCTTTTAATTTTTTATTATTAATTTATTTTAAACTTAAATATACAATAAGAAAAGAAGTAGAAACATATTATCAACTTAAATATTAAATATTAAAACTTAAATACAAATCCCCTCCAGGGATCACTCCCTTATCCTCCCATTCCTGTTAATCTTCTTTTATCTTCCCTTCTATTATCTCCCCTTATCCAATTCCTTCACCCTCCCCACTAAAAATCCATCCTTTATCCTCTCCTTCCTCCCTATCCCCTTAGCCTTTTATTTCTTTCAGAATTTAGAAGACATTTATACATATACATATATGTATATGTGGGTATATATTCATATGTGTATATGTGTGTATGTATGCATGTATATATGTATGTATGTAGTATCCCTCTTAAACACATTCCTGATGAAAGTAGGGTTCCAGAACTACTAGCCCTCCTTCTCTATCTAATTCCTCTGCATCAGTTCTTCCTTTCACAGCTCATTTGTATAAAATAATTACTGTTTTTACCAGTTCCTAAATAATTTTACCTTTTTAATCATATCATACTTAGGTCTACCCCAATCTTTCTTATGAACTACCCAATTGCTAATAACTATCTTAGACATACATTTTATATTTCCTCATGCAAAAGGTAAACAGTCTTTATTGAATTCCTTGTAATTAGTCTTTGATATTTGTCAAATCTTTTATTAAATTCAGGTTATTTTTTTTAAGAAAATCCTTAAAGCCTGACAATTCATTAAATGTCTATTTTTTTTCATTTGGGATTATGCTTGACTTTGCTGGGTATGGTATTTTAGGACACAACCCCAGGTCTTTTGCTCTTTGATATATAGTGTTCCAAGACCTGCAGTCTTTTAATGTCACCACTGCTAGGTCTTGTGTGATTCTAATTGTGGAACCATCATATTTAAATTCCTTTTTTTTTTGCTTGTAATATTTTATCCTTCAGCTGGGTAGTTTGGGATTTGACTATGATATTCCTGTAGGTTTTCTTTGTAGAATCTCTTTCAGGTGGTGATTGGTGGATTTTTTCTATTTCTGTTTTCCCCTCTTGTTCTAATGCTTCAAGACAATTTTCTTTAATTATTTCTTGTATTATTGTATTAAGATTCTTTTTTTTATCATAGCTTTCAAGTAGTTCAATTATTCTTATGTTTTATCTTCTTGATCTCTTCTACAGATCAGCTGTTTTTCTTATGAGATATTTCACATTCTCTTCTATCTTTTCATTCTTTATATTTTGTTTTATCATTTCTTGGTTATAAGAACATCATTGGCTTCCCCTTGCCTAATTCTAATTTTCAAGAAGTCATTTTCTTTCTTAAGATTCTATATTTCCTTTTCTAATTGGTTGACTTTCTTTTCATAATCTTCTTGGTGTTTATTGGATTGTTCTTATTTTTTAAAAAATTTTCCTCAATCTGTCTCATGATTTTTAAAGTCTCTTTAAAGTTCTTCTATGAATTCTTTTTGGGCAGGTACTCTTTGGGGTAAGAGTACTTGCCAGTACTCTCTGGAGTAAGAGAGGCTTTTTTTTTTGTTTCAGTATCTTCTTCTGAAGATCTTCTCTATTCCCGTAGTAACTTATTTGGTTGGATTCTTTCTCCTTTGCTTGCTCTTTTTTTTTTTTAATTTGTAGCAGCTTATTTTCTGCAATAAGCTCTAGTCCTGGGGTATGAGGGATGATGCCTCTGGTCTCAGATCCTCCTTCAGTTCTTCCCTCTAGCTTGGAACCAAAACCAAGAACTCCATCCTCCTGTAAGTGCCCACAGCCAGCAATGTCCCTGCCCCACTACTTCTGCACGCATTAAACATGTGCTTCTTGCCCAGGGCTACACAGCCGGTCTAGTGTCCCTTATCAACAGAGGTTCCCTCAATCTTCTCTAGCTCAGACACCCAACTTCCACACTGTACAGGAGGTGAAAGTTTCTGTAGCTGGGGTGGAGGCTATGCCCCAACCCAGCTAACCCCAGGGCTATCTGCTTGCTATTTCAGTGGAACTAGCCTGGGAGTGTTTACTCTTCACAAGGACCAAACCTTATCCTGCCATTGTCCCAAGAGAACCACTATTCTCTTTCAACTCTTGTTTATTTTTACTGCTCTTTCTTTGTCCTGAGGCACTATTTTTTCTGGTTTGTGAAGGATATCTGGAAAGCTTGGAATTTTCTGACCTACTCTGCTGTCTTCCCAGAATCCTTTATACACACACACACACACACACACACACACACACACGTGTGTATATATATATTATATATATATGTTGGGTTTTTTTTTTTGTAACATAGACCTAGGAATGCAAATGAAATTCTTTTGGGGAAATAACATTTCAATGAATTGAGGCTCAAAGTTAGAGTGCCCTGTCATCAAAATTGCTCATAAATGTTCATTTGTTAATGCTGATCAGATTTTATGTATTTTATCTTTGAAAAAATCTTTTCACATGATAGGTATTGCTAAATAGTAATATCAGTTCATAAGCACCTGATTTTAATTGAGCATATTCATCTTTTAGAAGACATTTATGGAATTGTATCAAAGTTTTCTCTTGATATTTGTCTTTTAGCATGTCATTACACTGCAGTTGAATCACTTCCAATTAAGATTAGCTGGAAGCTCATTATTTTCACAGTTCAATGAATTTCAAAATATAGCTTTTTTTTTGAATTTTCTGCACTTGTACTGAGGTTCAAAAAGCTAAAACTGGAGAAAAAGTAAAAACTGTAGCTTTAACTTGGAAAATATATCTGCTGCCAATATATATATAGGAAAGGAAACCTTGCTTTGTGTTTTAACTTCTCATAGCATGTGCACACACACACAACACATATATGTATGTATGTACATAAAACAACACGTATATAAAGCAACTTGACATGATTTGTGATTCAAACAACCTTAGTTGTTGTTGAACTGACTTTATCATTGTGTAAGTTTCACATAAAAGCACTATTTTGCCTTGAAATTTTATGTTAAATTCATTAAGAAACATTATGAAGTATGCAGCAAAAATATTTTTTAAAGTATTTAAAAAATATTTTTAAATCATAGTGATTGAAAACACTTTTTCCCATTCAGAAAAATTTTCATCTTGGCCCTAAACTCAAAAAAATTATAATTTTTTTTCCTCTTCTTCTCTTGTTTTAGCATGATAGGTCTATGCTGGTAATAAAATAAAATAACAGTGTATGGTGATAGGCATGATACTCAAAACTCTGTCAAGTTATTATTGTGAGCAACTATTTGAAGTGATGAGAGTGCCACATTAACTACTCAGCTCTGCTACTGTAGCACCAAAACAACCATAGACAATATGTAAATGAATAAACATCTTTGGATTTCAATAAATTTCTTCTTTGTGGACAATGAAATTTAAATTTCATATAATTTTCATGCATTATGATATGTTATTTTTCTTTTGATTTTTTTTAAACCATTAACAAATGCAGAAATTATTCTTTGCTTGGGCTGTATAAAAACAAATGTGTCAGATTTGGCCTGTGGGCAGTAGTTTGCTGAACCCTGAACCTAGGTGCCTCATGGAAGCAAATTCAAAAAAGCAACTCACAGAGAGATCAAGAAGTTCTGATTTAGTCTACAAAATAATTGTGTCATTGTAAAGACAAAGTCCCTGATACAGTGCTCTCACTGAAGCAAGAGGTAAATGAAAGGGAACACAGTAATTTGCTGGATTAAAAAAAACCATTTTATTAATTCCCTTAAAAAATTTGAATGACTTTTCCTCCCCTTCTCCCATACCTTTCCTTCTATAAAGTTTTTTCGTGTAACAAAGTAATACAGTTAAGTAAAATAAATCAAAATTTTGGTCATATGTGAAAATATATCCTTCATTCTGTACCTATCACCCACCACTTTTTGGAGGCATAGCTCCCTGTCAATTGTACAAAATCATTATTGGTCACTGGATTTATCAGTCTCTCAAAACTGTTTCTCTCCACCTTACCCCATCCATCATGTAAATTGTTTGCCTGGTTCTGCTTATTTTGCAGATTCTTTTCTCCTCAACTTCTG